TAGGAGAAACTTATTTGAGCCTTTACTTTAAACTTCTCAATTTAATTTAAGGCTAAATTTGCTCGACGAGCTAAGCTTTATTCTGAATTTAATTATCTTCTTTATTCTTAGATCTAACCTGCAACTCTCCCCCAAATTATTTTCTTCACTTTTCAAAGTACAAATTCGTTTTTCATATACTTCTATGAGACGTTTAGGGTCTATGAGGACTTGTATACAGAGAAAGACCTCTGAATGGGCTATTTATGTCATGATTTAGTTGGTTTTGAAGCCATTGGTAGATCTTTAATAGGCCTGGGTCGGTCAAGTAGGTTTAAGGAATGAAACCTACCAACCTACCTGACCAAGTTTGGAAAATAAGGTCAAACAACTTCTATATAACGAAAAGAGACTGCACCCATACAAAAGGTCACACCATCTTAGTCTTCATACCTTCGAATAAGGAAGGAAAGTTTAAGTTAAGATGATGAAATAAACAGAATTTAAAGTAGCAAACATTTTATTGTTTCTAAGTAGATTTCTAAGTGGCTCTTATACAATAAATAGATTTTGCAGCACAACGGGTAACGGTAGAGAAGCATAATTAGCATAATAAAACTTTAAATAAAATGAGCGAGAATCATCGGGGCAATCTCCTAGATTACAATGAAAATGTACTGAGCTTCAGTCAATTGTAACACTTGACATTCATCATTAGAGCTAGGCGTCATTCAGGGAGCTAATTCAAGCTAACAAATCAAGCATACTCACCAGATTATCGTAACATGTCGTACATTCTTTGTGATATATGAAGTGCTTTGGTTAATTTCTATCACATTACAATCTTATGTGTGAGCATATATAGACTTGTGTGTTGTTGGTATGTTCGTTTATGCAGACCCAGTTTTGGGCACAACCCAATTTTAAGACCAATTTAAGTATTTATGAGTAGTACATATTTGACCTGTAAAGATATGTTCCATTTTGTCTAATCAATTAATATCATAATTATAGGAATTCTTTATCGACAATAAAAGACTAACAGCAATAACGTAATTTAGATAAATGGATTATTAGTTTGCTATTAAATGGTATGGTAAGGATGGTCTAGATAATATCTTTTTATTAATTAGTCAACGGAATAGTAACATTAAGTGCACAATGAAAAGAACAAAGGGCAATATTTTGCCATTGGCGGACTATTTGATTATTTTGGAAGGCGGGATGTCTATACGAAACCAGTATATGTAGACTTAATTCTTAACTTCTACTGATTATCCTAAGGCGGGTATTTCAATAATAATGATTATAAGGCTTTAATATTAGCATCCATCAGGATGATGGATTGAATGGGCTTAATTACATCAAAATAAGCATCCTCTAGGAGTGATATAAAATTACTAAAGAATACATAATTGAATAAAGAATATTTGAGAAGAAATGGAAGAATATAGCTTCTTTCTCATGTTCTGGCCTTGTCTGCGGGCTTTGTATCAAAATAAACAGATAAATTGTTAAGGAAGTGGGAAATAAAAACTGCTTTTACATTAAATATGGTACTTTCTTCCGTTAGGCTCACATTCTGACCGAAATTTAACCCATTTCTCATGAACTAATGGATTTTATTCTCACTTCTATGCACACATATGCACATGCTTCTAGACCGGCATCGAAATTAACTAACAAATTAATATATAAATTATAAAAATTTAATGTTTTAGAGTATGCATTAAGCATTGATGGATAAGATGGTCACCTTTTCATTAATATTTGGTTTGAATTAGTCTGCAGAGTCAACCCAACTCTGAGGATGTTTGACAAGTAAAATTACAGACAACAGCTCAAAAACAATTCGCCAGAACCGAAGGAAACTCTCTCGAGGAAACGGTTAACTATAGCATCATTCCATTGGGACCAAAAGGCATCTCTCCAAATGAAAGTAGCCGTTGTTTTCTGATGAGCTTTTTCGGTGCCCAACTCTTACTCATATAGCTAACTACACGCTACGCCTAAGAGTGTAGGTTTGGCAACTAGAATCAAAATACAGTATTCTCACAGAGCCTAAATGTAAAATTGCATGAAATAAGTGCTCCAAAAATTTCAAAGCGCATTGTATCAATTATAAACTGAGAGTGAATATCGAATCGCTTCACTCCATATAACAAATGAATCAGCACTTCTTTTCCAGAAGCCTGATTTGAGTATAACTCAGCTTTACCTCTACGGATGTCGTCATGATGTAAAAACACGAACAGAACACAAAAAAACAAGCGTTTATAGACTTGATTTAAATAACCGGATCATTAATTTCATTAAATTTCAGAAATAAGCTATTCCATAGTCTAATTCTTATCTATACTCAATTGTTTTATTTATTTTGCGGTTCTTTTATTTATTTTGAAAAACGGTGGAAGGGAATTTAAATTGGCCCCACCATAATTGAGATGTGGAACTTTTTAATTGTACGTAAAGGTCCTCTGTGTACCATAGTCCCCATTCAAAATAATCTAACCGTCTCGATACTTATTCACTAAGTATTTTGTGAAGTTCACACCAAATGGCTGCAAACTCTGAAGATGTTAGTCTCGAAGATACAGGCGAATGCTTAGCACGGATTTATCGGATTTGTAAGGCTATGCGTATACAATTTATTCCCATAAATCCGCATTCCCAATTGCGGATTGTTTCGACTAGTTGAATAAAATGAATGGTTAAATAACATGACGGTTTGAAGGGATTTTTCCAAACTTTCATATAAATACCTTATTATTTCAGATATTTTCCTATTTTGACTTGTTTTCAAGTTGAGCTAATAGCTTCTCTAGATACGATGAATCTAAGAAAAGGTGTCAGTTTCATATTGAATATTTCCTAAGCCAATTCTCATGTTGTATTTAGCAACAATAATCAGGTAGAGGAAAGGTTCGAAAACAAATGTGTAACTAACGCCAAAATCAGTAATATCTCTAAATAACTAAAAATATTCGAAATTCCCCACAAACCAAAGAATTGATAGAAATCCTTTCATTGCTCCAAAAGTAATTATTTTCTCCATTTTCTTTCAAAGACAGGTTTTCATGAATAATAGTAGTTTTGATAGAAGAGCTGCAATTACTCTATTTTGTTTAAAGTAATTCAAAACTGGTAGTTGAATTTTCTCACAACCATATAAATAGGCCTAATATTTCCATTGCATTTCACAAAACCTTGCTTTCCAAAATGTATTCCCATCAAGGTTGGACTGTAGTTCCGATCTCTCCTAGGCCCCATTAGTACCACCGTGCATGATTCGAACCCGGATAGTGCAGCGTATAGTTTCGAGACATTTACAACTACTCTACACTGCCACAAGTGACCTAGGGTCGCAGGGCAGAAGTAAATTTTGAGCAAGACTAGGCCTTTCATATATCATATTTATCAGGTGGCGTTGTCGAAGAAGCAATGTTGTATTCGCTATAACAATCGAACACATTATATATTTTTTGTTTCATAAGTATTTTTTCTAGATCTTGTATAAGGAAGTGCAGTCCATCCTGGATGAAAATATTTTTTGAGAAGCAAGTCTATGTGAAATTGAGTGGAAGCTTTAGTAGAAATTCAACCACCAGTTCTTCCTTACCTTAAACAAATACACTTTTTGTTTTTATATTCCATGGTTCTAACCCGGCTAGGGGATTGGAGAAAAAGCTGCTCCACACGTCCATATGGGTGCTTCGTAATGGCTTTTTCGTCTTAGGGGCTGCGATTTTCCTACGAATCTTGATTTCGCGGTTCGAGTCCTCTTGAGAGTGGGCATGAGGCCCAGAGAGGAAGGAGACGGCATTTATAGGGTCTAGAGCATGACAATACGGACCCTTGGGCTAGAACAGAAAAAGGTATATTTTCGCCTGTGACCATTGCCAGTCAAGAGATGCCATTAGACGGGAATGTACCATCTTCGTATAGTTCGGTACGGTTAAGTAGCTCCCCCCCATATAAAATTAAAATTTTGGCCGAATGCTTTAAGTTTTGCAGTAAAATTAAGCAAAAATAGATAAATATGAGATGTAGTCATCCTATTTTGTTTAGGGTCAGAATACCTTTTGGGAAGCAAGGCTATGAGAAATGCAATTGAAACATCATATCTACTCATAGCATTGTGGGAAAATTCGACTACCAGTCGCCTTAGGATGAATACATATCACATATATGATCTACTGGTTGTCTCGACAACCTACTAATAAACGAAAAAAATATAGAAAGACAGTCTACTCCGTTGTCGAGTGCCTATTGGCTGCAAGCATGCGAATCGATTCTGTCTCTTCTTCAACCACCACTTTGTAGACACGTTGGCAGCCTCGAATTTTTTCAGAAGGGAGTAAAAACAAAGCGCCCAGACGACTACCCGTCCTCGCGTCTTTTGCAGGAGGGACCGACTCATGTGCTGAGCTGAAGAGGGGTCGGAAACTTCTCCAGCCGAGGCAGTGGGCTAGTCCCGCGAGGATGTCATAAAAAGCTGTGCCAGTAACAGGTTGTTAGGCCTACCTCACCACTTGCTCTTCTCCTATTCATGATCTGCCCGCCCGCTTCACAACTCGTTTTATACCATACAGCATAGCAACAGCACAACAACACCCCCTTGTCACCATACCAAAACACACACACGGACTGGCGGGCTTTTCTCCACAACGAACTCGTTTGAGGGCAGCCTGAGTCAGTCGGCTCGTCTTCGGGAGTGGCGAACGAGTGGATAATTCTAGTAATTACAAAATTGCAGGCGCGCTAAACTTGGAAATCTGAGCGTAGGCCATCGGACGGCTGCCAGTGAGGGTAGTCGAGTCGCAGACGCGTCCGGTACCAAAAAGGCGTGGGGGGCTGCTCGTCTGCCTGCAAGCCCTCTAGTCAGGGCAATATGCATTTTTTTATTGTATGAATACGTCGGCTACTTATACGAATTGGTCGTAAACTTGTAATGCCTCACTTTGCTGTCTGTACCGACGGTGTTGGCAATGGGAAAAAGAGAGCAAGCGAAAGGAGGTGTGCGCCCATTCACTCGTGAGCCGGTCGGTCAGTCGGTCCGTCGGTCCATCAGTCCGTTGGTCGGTCGGTCGGTCGGTCGGTTGGTCAGTCGGTCGGGGGCCAGAGGCAGGACTTGCGAGAACGCAAACGATAAAGTGTTGCTGCATGTGGCCACTCTGCGTCGTCCAAGGGCGGCCGAATGCTCTCCACTTCAGCCCGACATGCCATCTGAACTGGCCTGGGAAAGATAAGCGGATGTGCACAATCGATGGGTGCAGACACCTTCCGGTGTGGACCACTTCATGCGCCCGGGCTTGCGTTGATCCGGCCCGCATGTGCCTTGGCATCGCAAAATTGTGAAACACACGAGCCGACTTGAGGAGCCCGAGACAGCCGAGGGTGACGGATGAAGCCTGAGTTGGCCTGGCGAAGCCGTTTAAAGCACTAAGTGGGCCAATAATGAAATTCACACCTAACATGAGGCAGCATACACATACTTACAAATATGTGTGTGTGTGTTTGTGTGTGTACGTATACAGGAACACTGGCAAAAAACTCTTCTTGACAAGGGTTTTGGGTGAAGGAGTTCCTTATGAAGGTGCCAATGGAAGAGGCATGTATCAGGAGCGCACATACGCCTGTGTGACTGTGTATGAATTTATCTGACCAAGCTAGCGGCAAATCGCTATAGTCAGTCATCGTCCCGATTTTCGGAGGGATAAATGTGCAGTCTGGAGGGGTGTGGGATGTGAGGTGAAGTTTTTGCCGAGTTATTTGCATGATTGTATACCAGGCAAGTTCCGACGAGCAGACAGTGTCCAATAACCCTTGTTGCTTATTTGACACGGGAACTAACATTTATACGATTACATATGAAGAGAAGCTGGGTTTTCTATAGCCCCGGGAAGGGATTCGTAAATGGCCCTGCCGAATATCGAAAGAAGATTGCCTTACTATTGTGACTGCTATATTCAACCAAAACACTGATTTTTCTTGATATTGTTCAGGGTTTCCGAATTAGTTAGCATATCTAGTTTTGTGTGTGTGTACTCATCATTAGATACCTTTCATAATCCCCAACCTGCTATCGGCTTTTTAGAGGGAGTATATATTTCAATGTATGATTTCTATCGGGTGTCTGTTGCAGAGAAACCTCCGAGTCAATTCGACCAATTCTTCAACAAAGAATTTCATGACCATTAATTTTAAGCTTCTGTTAATCATACTTCTCGTTGTTCCTATCTCCAGTTTGTAGTTGTAACGAGGCCAGAAATTGAGGATTCTATATGACTAGACTTTTCATTTCAAGGAAAGTATTTCCTGGATAGAATTCATGATTTGGTCTAGTTGTAAACCTATGAAGGATTGTCGTGGAGTTAGGACTCCTAGATTCTGCGAAGAATAGTTGGGGTTTGCTAAGTCTCTTGGTTTATAAATATTGAGCTAACTTCCAATTCGAGTGAAGGTTTTTGATAGAAGAGATTGGAAGGCCGATTCCACCAACAGACGAAGATGGATTCCTAATGGCCAGCTATCGACTGACTTAACTGGAGCATTGTTGTAGATTCTGTTTCCGAGGCAATTACTTCGATTTGATGAAAATGTGATATGGTTTCATCCGCCCAACACCATCATTCCTGCAACCACATTCAAACGAACGAGTCAAAAATCTCACCAGCTTATCTCTAAAAGATGTATATATACCCTATATCTAAGATATTTGATGATATATAAAGTGATGTGGTTAGTTGAAGTTATATGAGATGTGTTCAGTCTATTTGGTTTAAGACGATGAGGGACTGGTTTATGAATTTTCCCACAATGATATGGATGGAGCTGATAGATTCAACCAAAACACTTTTTTTCTTGATATTGCTCAGGGTTTCTGAATTAGTTAGCATATCTATAGTCGAACCATGAGAGTGCAGTGTGTAAGCTCAGCACATTAATAACTCAGCCACATCGCCACGTCTCCCGCTGGGGGTGGTGATAAGACCGATAAGGTCGAAACTGCAGTCCAACCTGGATGAGAGCACCTTTTGGGAAAGCAAGGCTATTTGAAATTCAATGGAAAAGTCAGCTCTACTCATAGCATTGTGGGAAAATTCAACTAGTTAAAGTTATATGTCAACCTCGAAGCCTGTGAGCATGTCTGGGTATTCTAATGTACCTTCATGTGTTCGTATATGTACGAAACGAGCAGAGATGGCTCAAAGTAATTAGAACAAAAATGTAACGTCTATTCTTGCCCAACAAGGATTGATGACCACTATCATCCCCCTTATTTATTTTTATTTTTATTTCAACAATCATTCAAATTGCGCAAAGTAGAACACATCTGTTTAAAGTGATGAGCATTTTGTATTCGTGTGATAGAGAAAGAGTGGATTAAGCTATAGAAAAAATCTACCGTATTAAGAACCAAGGCAAGAAAGGACTGGTTGAGTAGTTTCCTTTTTTTCAGGCGGCTCATCGCCCTCTATTCTTGAGACTATCAATTAGACATAATTAGTTCTGACTCAATTTCCAACC